GCACAACACGTGACTTTAGCATTTCTCAGTTTTATTCGACAAAGCTCACATAGAGTATTATAAAATCCTAGATATCGGTTAGATGATGTATTAGATGATCACTCTATTTGAGTAACGAGCTTTGCCGAACAAAATGGAGAACTTTAAAATGCCTCCCTGTAAACTTGGCAATTTCGACATACGATACTTTACGTAGGAGTGGTCGAATTATAACAAACTAGTGGAATAATTTAATAAAAAACAATTGAAACATCTTGACATTCAATAAAAACTTAATTACAAAACAAACATTTTTGGTTTGGGGTACTATTCTTGAAAGACAGAGATGTATACTTACCACAAAGGGATTGTCAGCGAAACTGAGTATGTCCCTTTCCGCGAAAGCCTGTTCCACTTGATTCCTCAATATAAGATTGTTCTTGCTGATCTTTTTCATCGCATACCTGAAAATATGTTAAAATATTCACAAGCCAACCAATACAACCTCAAATGGTTTTCGTTGATTCCGCATATAAGTGAAAGTGTTGAATCAATTTGGAAAAAAATATATAGTAAAAATTGAGGATATTCACACTCATTACTACACGGTGTGAAAACACTATTCCTAAAAATTTTCACATGGATATAAACACAAAGTTACCTCGAAATTGTTTAAGAAAACCTCTGTATTCAGTAGATACTTTAGACATACCAAATTTTTTTAGTAGTATACGACATATTTGTAATTTCGTTTGTAAAAAAATAAATTTTGAAGTAAAGCCAGCGCCCTGTCGCGCACCGACACAGTACGGGAAAGATTTGAATTCAAGCTGAGGTGGATAAGATAGGACAAGATTATAATAATATAAAAAATAAAATTATAAGAGTGGATAGGATAAGAGTCGATATCTTAAATCTAAGTTAAGTCAAATCGTCAAATCACTATTTGTTAGCCAGAACTATGCACTACTTGTAACAAATAAAAGTTTGTTTACCCCATCGAGTATATAACCAGAAATAGAGACGTAATAAGGGCCATCCATCCTTGGCAACTCATCAGGCAAATGGGCCTTATATCACTTTTAAATATCAACTCTCGTTTACGCTGAAATCACAATTTAGAAAGCTGAAATAGCACAGCGCCAGCAACTGATCTGTGTGTATGTCGCCGTATATTTTAAAAATATTGTGTATTCATTGTAATAAAAACAATAATATCTGTAACAATGGGGGGGCTGTTCCGTCCGGTGGTGTGGGAAAAACATGCAAAACATCTAATTACAAAACAAACGGTAATAAACAAAAACATTTCATCGGTAATTAAATATGTAATTTTGCAATTTTCGTCCATTACAGCAAAGCTCAAGTTAAACTGGTCGATATAAAGTCAAACAATTGACGACACCCGTCAATTGTTTCCAATTCGGGCTGACCAATCGGAACGCAGTTGTCACCGTAATGATTTGGCAGAATAGTTTTCAAACAAATTAAATGACATTTCGTCTCTATTTCTGGTTATATACTCGATGGTTTACCCCAATAAAAAAACCGGACACCAAGTTGATCTAATACGGTACATACCTTTGCCGGGTCTGTTTGTGCTTCACCAAGTATACAGCGCCGTAAGCGCCGTTGGAAATGAGCTTTATGACTTGGTAATCGTTTTCTGTTGGCGGAGCTCCGTTCGTGCCGTGACCTGGTGGGGACTGGCGGCCGCGAGATCTAGTAACATTTGCGGAATGAAAACTAATATTATAAATGCGAAAGTAACTGTCTCTCAAATTTACACGCCTAAGCCGGTGAACCAATTTTGATGAATTTTGGTATAGAGACAGATGCGATGCAAAATGTTTTACACTGTTCTTAAATTGCGTGCATATACAAAGAAAATATTACCTAATTATAATTTTGATTCAAAACACCGTATTTAATAAGATACGCCCAAAAAATTAATTCCAGTTGAAAGATTTTTTATCCTATTGGAAATGTTTCGGGGGTATACAACCTTTGGCTGCCTTTTTTACTTATTCGTTTTTTTTACTGCTTAAAGCGTATTTAAAGCTTTAACTTTCCTGATGGCAATAACTATAATGTAAACTTTATCTTATTTTTTTTAGTCGCAATAAGCAAATTTATATTTTTTTCTTTTTTCTAAATTAAATGGGCTTGCCCTTGACCACTACCTAGCTCTGGACTAAAGATAGGAACTACGATGTACCTTAACACTCTCAGCGCCACAGAACGAACAGAAGAAACGATTTTTCTGAAGCAGCAAGCCATGTGAGCGGTGTGCGCGATACGTACTTTTTTTTCACTGTACGTCATGCCTGATTTCGAGTAACTTTTGTAGTAGGCCATGTGAGCTGCCGGCGGGACACTATCGAACTTTAGCAGCCGGCTGCGCGTTACGCCGTGATTTCACCAAAAACAGACGGATGTCACCACTAGGGACGAGCTCGTTACTTGATAATGATCTGGATCAGTTATAAGAAAAAAGCCAAACAATTGACCGTGTTCGTCGAACGCACAACGTACATTGTCGGCCTGCTGATTCGACTTCGACTAGAGACATGGAAAATCAATTTTAAATACCTAATTGCGGTACGCCGGCGGCCCAAGCGGCCTGCTAGGTAAAATTCGAAAATACATGGTGGCCTGCTGTACTTGGGTTTTTGTGGCCGGCCGGCGGCCCGTATAGCGATGAGAGTGTAGATACTTTTTGGTAACAAAAACATGCTGTAAAAGTTTTTTTTCTAGGACCAACTTACTTAGAAGGCGACGAGTTTTGTGGCGGTGGCGGAGGCGGCGGCGGGGGCACTTGCAACTCAGCCAGTGGATCTTTGGACAGTCCTAGTTTGTGGATAATATACTGCGGGATGTCCGATGTTATACCCTATGAATATATAGTCCAATGTTTATTTACGCACCGAACAAGAGCAGCTGTTGCAGCTAGGGAATGCAAATCTGGACCATATTTGAAATCCGGATTTCGCAAATTTTGTTGGTAGGTTAACGGCGAATCCGGATAATCCGTATTTTTTCAGAAAACAATAAGAATATGAAGGTAGTCAAATATCGTGATATTCAATAAACTTAAAAATTGCAATTATTAAAGCGACATCTCTTTTCAGCCACTGGTACCTGTAAAGGTACCTGGCTGAATGAAGAAAGAGTTTCATAGATTTCTCACAGATGGCGCTACGGTAAAAAAGTCGTTAAAAATGAAGATCTGTAACAAGCACTTAGGAAAATTTTAAGATCCGCTAGTTCGTTTCCTGACTTAGTTGGCATAGCGTCTGACACGGTTTGCAGGAAGACTTTGGTTCTAGTCCAGCCTGATCGAAGGATTTTTTTTCTAAGTGTTCAATATTTATTTATTAATAATTAAACAAAGTAATAGAGTAATTTCACAAAAATAATTGAATATCATGGTGATCAAACATCGGTGACATTCAATAAACTTTGAAAAAATATATGGCTCGCATGTAGTTTGTACGTTACACGATTGACCATAACGTTCATTATGCGATGTACAATATTGTTACAAAAATTCGCTTCCATTCCATTCTGCCGCAATATAAATTGAGCCTAAGAATTCAATAGTGCAACTTGCACTACTTGTCTTATACTTTATTGGATTTAGTGGTCGAAGTAATGGGAGTGATCATTGACAGTTTAAAGAACAATTCAAACCTGGAAATGTTTAGCATGTCCTTCAGCAGCCTCGAGCATCCGGTAGAACCGCTCGGGGTCAAACTCTAGACATTCTAGTAATCGCGCTGGTCGCGCCATTGCCAGAGTCAGTCTATTCACTAGCGGTGCCACTTGGTTTCCGGCATCTGCTGATTTTTCTCGTGTCTGGTAAAATAGTGACGTATCAAAAAATGTCCGCCTTTTGTATATTTTGCTATAGGTAATTAGGAGTATTTTCGTTGTAACCGATACTTCGTATGTAACTCTAGCGGTTACTTGCTATACGTGATGAAGCAGCGGAATGACGGAAAGACGCCGGGGGGCGCGTACGCGACACAAAAGTACAGAAAAGGAATGGTACGTCGTACGCTCCTTTCGTCCACCGAGAAGACATAAACCAGAACCAATTTAGAAAAAATTTCATTTCCCAAATTGTTCTTACCGGGAATCGAACCCGAGACCTCCACGTTTAGCGTTAGTTTAGCGTTTAATAAGATACTCCCGGACACATAATTAGAGCCACCTTGCATTTTCAATATTAAATGCTTACTTTAAACAACCCTTGATTGCCCAAAAATGCTATTATGCAACTTTGAAACTGGTATACTAAACGTCATTCAATTAAATCCTTATTGAAAATTTGTATTTAAAATTTCGGAGAAAACTTTTTCTTCGATGCCAACTATATTTTTATATAAAATTTTATTAGCATAAAAATGCAAGGTGGCGCTAAAGTTCTCGTATTCGGTTCCCGGGGAAAAAATGCTTGTATCTTCTTATCGTATCGATGACATACATTATAATATTGTGGCCCAGAAGTCAGCCACGCCGGCCGCCATTAAATCCTTAAGCGTGCAATGTACGCAGGGCACGATATTATGAGGTGGGCCATCGTTAGAGTCGCACCGCACAAACAGTCCATGTTGGAACCATCACCATTGTCCTTGCTCCGATCAACCAGAGTCCGAAGTCTATTTAAAGACGTCCAAATCGGCCATGGCAATTCGTGTCCAGGAGGAAAACTCTCCTCGCCTGAGCCGGCTCAATGCTCAGAGGATCGACACATTTGACGAAACTTTTCCGGGTTCTCAGTCTCTATTGCACCGTGAAGTGATCGTACATAGGGTGCCGAGTGTCTTACTCTAAGTCAATATTTGTATGATCTACATTTATTTCTCCCATGAGTTTGGGTGTAATTTGTGGTTATCTAAGTGTGTTAATGGCACCCGCGATACAGGGTTTCCCTAGTGCGGGGCTATAAGTGTGTGTGGTATTTATGTATTTATTATTATTAGGAAATTTTAGTCTGTTTTTATTTACCTCGGCCAATAACCGATCTAAACTGTCGGCCATGTCATAAAAATACGAGCTTGTCACTTGTTTCGATTCAGATTTGTGCAGGCAATCGCGAGCCATCTCTAAAACCTGGAACAAATTAACAATATTTAACGAATGCACTTAATTGCCCATTAACTTACTATTATTATTCTTAAGAGTAGATAGTATCTCGGTTCGAATTTATTTTTTTCCCGTACATACAAGGTTCATTTTGCTTGGTACGAGCGACAGTAGTATCGCGAATGCTGTCGCGATTTAGTATTAGTTTTGTAATATCAAGCATTAATAAATTTGGCCTGTTATGATACCTAAGAGTAGGGAACTAACACGGCAGTCCAGGCATCTCAAATTCTGAAGGTGAGATATGCTGGGAGTGCACTGGTTGGTCGTCACTACTAACTTAGATACAGCATTTGTTGACTAGACAGCCTGAAGATAAGAGTGTGACGAATCAGTAACAGAATTAGAATGAGACTAGCCACTTGTACTAAAAGTATAAGGGGGCATGAAGCGGTAGCAGAGGAAGGGCTGCAGGGGTGTGTGTGGAGGCCCATCATAGGCATCAGAGGATCCCACTAGTTCAGATCAATGAGGTCAAGGACCTATTAGGACAGTTATAGTAGTCCTATGAAGTAGAATGGAGTTAGAAGAAGTGTACGCGAAGAAAGATATTCTATTTAAAGGAAAGAATGTCGCATTATGATAGAACCTTCGGCGTGGCGACAATGTATATCGTATAGTATATGCGTTTTATTTAATACAGTTGATATAAAAAAAAGTTATTAGTTTATGTAAAGTACCTATTGAATAATGCGGTTTTCTTGTAAAATTTCGAAGTAAGTTTGTGTTTCTTTTTCTATCTTGAAAATTGTTTTCACACCGTATTAATAATTAATATACATCCTCAATTTTACTATATATTTCTTCCAAAGTGATTGATCCAACAGTGTTCTGCGGAATCAACTAAAGCCATTCGAGGTTTGTATAGACTCTTAACACGAACGGGAAAGTATTTAAATACTTCGTACTTACTTGTCGCTGTACAAATCTCTCGATCGGTGGTCGATCTGGTTTCTTATCTAGCTCAGTCAGTTCTTCTATCAGAGATCTTAATCTGTAAAAAAAAAATGTAAATATATAGGCAGTTTTAAAAAAACCGAAAATGAAGTTACAACTTTTCTTAACAAGTTTCCACTTGCTATGTTTTGCTTCTACATAAAACAACAGAATTAGTGTCGTAGCTTTGTATAATTGTTGCCATTCATAAACAGAACATTTTTAACCCTGTTATTGGCAGAACCGTCGTGGAAATCGATGGAGCCATTATAAAGGAATTGGAATTGGATTGATAAGCAAAAGTGACAATGTAACATAGCATTCCGTAGTAACTTGCCATCTACAAAATATATAACACAAGGTTCTATACTAACTTATCACCGACAGAATGTCTTTGGCTAAGCTGACAACAAATGGCAACATAATATAAGGTTCGCTACTAACTTGTCATCCATAGCTTTCTGCGCAGCAGGAAACCGAGCAGCGAATAGCGAAGACATGGCCGATACAGCGTCGTCTTTGGACCCCTCCGTGCTGGAACCCGCGCCGCCGGGGGAGCGGGACGGAGAACTATCAAGGGGAAGGCTGTTTGTTTTAGGAATACCGTTAGTGATGGTTTGCCATGGAATTATATTCAAAAACATTTAAAATCATTTCCAAATTCGTGTTCTGAAATTAGGTATTAAAGGTCCAGAGTAAATCAATTATTTCGATAACGAGTTCTTAGGTTTTCGCGATGCTTACACATAGGAAATTAATCCATTTTTTTTCCGGATCAAGTCGCGTAAAACTGTTTTTTTTTTTTTTTTTTTTTTTTTCAAACAAACCAACGTTTCGGGCCCTTTCCAGGTCCCATATAAGCCGTGACTATGTAGCCTGTAAAGGGCTCGAAACGTTAATTTGAAAAAACAAATACACGCGATTATAATCTGAAAAAAAAAAGTTTAATTTCCTATTTCTGATAAGTCACTGATGCCTAGAGCACGTAAAGACATTTAGCCACGAGTCTTGTTTTATCGGAAAAATTTACAATATACATTGTTTTTAAATGCAAATATGTCCGGTCGAGCTGGAGACCTAGTCATACCTGAGACTTCTGCTGCGTACGCGCCTCGCGGGGCTCTGCGGCGAGGGCGCGCGCACCTGCGCGTGCCCACTGCCCCCGCTGTCCGATAACGACGCCCAGTTGTTCATACCGCTCCCTTGCGAGCTGCTGCAATGAAGATAGTACACAATTGTAACTTTGCCAAATGGTACCAAATTAAGTTTGTCAAACGAGAGTTGGGTAAGCTTGTGTACCACGTTAAAGTTGACTTCTTCTAGAAGATTGGTATCGGAGGTTGACATCACTAGACTGCCGTGTTATGACAACATGCTTAATTTTTAGAAGCAGTAAGCAATAGAGCTCCCTGTGAAAGAGTTCGTCCAGGGAAGTATTGCCACCTTGCCTATTTCTGCCGCCAAGCAGTAATGTGAGTATAACTGCGTTCCTGTTTTGAAGGGTAAGGGTGCTGGTGAAATTATATGCGTACGGGACTTGTCAACTTACGTATTGCGGTGAAGGGCAAGCAGTGGCAGTGCCGGTCAGATGCTGTTATGGACAGGCGTGTCGCTTACCACCCTTCCGGTCACTTGGTATTGTAATACCTTTTTAAGTTCTTACTTTGTAAAATAAGAACTTAAAAATATCGTTTTATTTAATGGACGCAGAACGAATTTCAAAATAATCTTCATAACATTTATAAGATAATTTGATGTTATCTAGCGACGGATAGATCTTAATTCTAGGTAAGATCAGGCACGACAGATCTTAATGCACGTGTAGGTAAGAGGGTAACGAACTCATTTGTTGTTATAAAGAAATAATTTACCTTGAGATAAAGCCTGTTGTGCGTCATAACATAACGCAGCTGTAGGGCCACATTTACGCTTTGAAGACAACCTTTTTAGCATAATTATATCCTTCTGTAGTGTGTGTTCTTTACTTGCGTTTTTTTAGAATTAAAAAAAAACGTAAACAGGGAAGCAGTGATCATAAACTTTTTCTTTACACAATTACCAGTAAAAGAAAAGATTGTGAGAATTGATGACAAGTGACATTTATAAATGACACGATGATAATTAACTGCATCCGCCCCAGGTTCGATTCTCGGGCTGAGAGAAATATTTATGTGGACTAGTTATTTCTCTCGTGAGTTTGGGTGTAGTTCGTGAATGTTTATGTTTGTGTCCATGGCACCCGCGATACAGAGTTTTTCTAATGCAGGAAACACAAAAAAAATATATTATTATTTTATAAAAAGTTGTGATGTAATGTTTGCTTATCTATTTCTTTACGTTTTTTATAGACTGTGTTTTATAAATAGATGGAATTTGTAAAAGTAGAATGCCTTTATTTAATATTTAGTTTTATACTAAGAGTGAAAAAAAGTAGTAAATACACATTACAATATACAGTACTTAGTTAATGTTTGAGAATTTCATTACGATAAAAAAACTCAAATTTTACTTCTGACTAATGCTAATATTATATGAGAGGATGCACACTCAGAGAGAATCCAGATTCAGACATATTCGCTCGTAATGTTAATACGCTAAAACGTAAACTTACGGACAATTTACTTAATTTTATTGAATACTTAATTTTTTTTTCTGATGGTTAACTACACGCCTGTACATAACAGTTGCTGTGCCACTCAGAGCTTTAAATCGCAAAGACCTGAGGGGCACTGCCACTGCACCCGTCACCTTAAGACATAAGTTGACGAGAACCATGTGCATATAACTTCACCAGCACCCTTAACATTCAAAACCGGAACACAGTAATGCTGACATTACTGCTTGTCGGCAGAAATAGGTAAGGTGAGGAGTTCTACTGCTACTAAATGAGTAAGAGAGAAATAAATATGAATAGACAATAGAGTTTTAAGCAACCAAGAGAAATAATTCCTGAATTAGTTTTTATTGTTTGATAGCAAAGATTATTTTATTTCAGTATTTTTAATTCGAATTTGTAACCATATAAATGAAATAAAAATAAAAAAATAAAATAGAATGTAAAAAGACACTCAAATTGTGGCTTAAGAGTAAAACTTACAATGAAACAGAGGACCTGCTGGAAGTGCTTTCATAATTATTTTTACATAGGTAACCATTAATTTATAACTAAGTTGTAATATAAAGAAATTTGCCCAAAAAGATGCCTAAATTACTGGTATACATTTACTTAGTTTAGGTATCGCAATTACACATTAGGTTCTAATATTAAAATATATATATAGCTTTACTATGAGGAATGTATAATTTAGATTCCCTTCCTAATGCTTATTTGAATACTATAATAGATTTATTTACATTTGTTTTACTTGTATTGTATTATGTTATATTGAAATAAATTTATCTTTATCTTTAATCTTTGAGACTGTCTTTGACTGGCAATTCGTTAATTAGTTTGCTTTCAAATTCGATGTAGAAATTCCAAGTATCGCACTCAAGTGTTTATCAGCGAGGCGAGAAGTATGTTTACTTTTTCTATAGTTCATAAACGAAAAAATTCGTTCAGATGTTATATGCTGCTAGAAATTGTAAATATTTGTTTAGCAAGCTCTTTCAATTCATTAAGGCGAGGTATTTCAATCGAGTGTCGTCAATTGTTTCACTTCAAATCGACCAGTTTAACTTGAACTTTGCTAAAATGGACAAAAATTTAAAAATTACATATTTAATATTTAATTATCGACGAAATGTGATTCCGTTTGTTTTGTAATTAGATGTTTTGCTGTTTTTCCCACACCACCGAATGGAACAGCCCCCATTGTTAGAGATATTATCTTTATTACAAAAAAATACAGAATATTTTTGGAATACACGGAGACGTACACAACAGGTCAGTTATTGGCGCTGTACTATTTCAGTTTTCTAATTTGTGATTTCAGCGCAAACGAGAGTTGATATTTAAAAGTGACATAAGACCTATTTTCCTGATGAGTTGCCAAATATGGATGGCCCTTATTCCGTCTCTATTTCTCGTTGTATACTCGATGGAATTTAATAACTAGGACAATTGAAAACCAAAATGGAGGTGGAGGTTCTCTGTAATAAATAAACAGAAATATCTCCATATAAAAATTATGTTACATATATAATAATATTTATTTTAGACTGTTTTCTCACTGACCGAGACTCTTTAGACCTTCATTTTAGGCTGTAGTCGGAACTAGGCTACTAGTACTATTATGTCACCTAATTGTAGCAAATTTAAAAAAAAAAACTTAAAAAAAATTGTTAATGAAATAAACAATTTACTTACTTTACTTACCACTTTGGTTTTTCTGCCCTTTCTTGCCCGATGTATCGATATGTAAGATACTTACTTGAGCGAGTTCTGATGCTGGTGACAGTGCGGGCAAGGCGGACGAGCAGACTCGTACGCCGTCTGCACTGCTAGAAGTCTTTCTTGCGACGAGCATTGCGACTGGAAAAAAAAAACGATTTTTTCACTTCTCACGCTCTAAAAGTACGTCAATGCAGCCTTGTGTAGCGGGAGTAAAGTGCATCTTTTACTCACTAGGGAGTAAAAAGTACCCAATTTTTTAAATTTACTTCGAGTGAACAAACTCAAACAGCCAGTAGTACGCTCGATTTTAGTTCCGTGCCTTTTCGGTGGCGCCATATTATTTTAGAGCGTTTGTTTTGTGTCTGGTTGGAAAAAAATAAATAAACGAAAACTTCAGAATGTTGGTTCGTAATTTTGCTGTCGAGCGGATAACGATTGAATGATAAAAAATATACTATTCGATCAATGTACTTTTTTTATGATACCGAGTGTCGTTTCAAACGTGAACTGTTTTATTTAAATTAAACCAAATGCAAATCATCTCTTAAATTTTACACCCTGTATTTGTAAAATGAAACTACATATAATTGCTTGGCGATAGAAATAAGTAATTGCCAATATTTCCCTGGACGAAATCTTTCACAAGGACCTCTAATGCTACTAAACTGAGTTTTGGTAATCATAGATAAACTCAAGTATAATTTTGATATTCTTCAGGAAATGCAAAAGACTGGAGCTCAAAATTAATTCTCCGAATGTTATTTATTAGACTTGTTAGTCCATTAAAGTAAAGTCTAATTGTGATATGAAAGACACGGAAGACTCGTGTCTTTCCCTACACGAATCGTTAGTAATGCAGTTTTCTACGAAACGATACACCTGTCGACACAAATTATATGCGTAACATTGAAACGACCTGTTCCTAAATATAGGCACGGTATGTTTTTAATTTGTTTGAAATAGATGATTTATTTGTTTAATCTGTTTAAGATTCTACATACTTATAAATAAGATTTATTTTGTTATATTAATATTTAACACCTTCAAGTCGTTAACACACCTGAATTTCTAAACAAGTAAGTTTAATATCATTATAGAAAATATGCAAGTTTAGTATCAAATTTTTATATTTAAAAGACAATCGATATCAAAAGTTTGTGGAAGTTTTATTAAAATCAGTTTACGGAATGTAGATTTTGGAGCTTTAAATCGCAAAGATTTGAAGGGCACTGCCACTGCCGTTATCCGGAGATATAAGTTGATAAGTCCCACGTGCCTGTAATTTCACCAGCACCCTTACCCTTTAAAACCGGAACGTAGTAATATTTGCATTACTGCTCAGCGGCAGAAATAGGTAAGGTGGCAGTACTTAACTGGACGAACTCTTTCACAAGGAGGTCTACTGCTACTAAAAAAATCAATAAAAAATAAGTGAAAATCAATAATAATAATAATAATAACGTACACACTCAACATAGCCCCGCACTAGGGAAACCCTGTGTCGCGGGTGCCATGGACACACACGTAGACAACCACAAATTACACCCAAACTCATGAGAGAAATAAATGTAGGCCATACAAATATTTCTCCCGACCCGGGAATCGAACCTGGGACCTCTGCATGGCAGTCCGGCATGGTAACCGTTCGGCCAGAGGCAATAAAACGGATTCATCCCCTATGTGCCACCAGTAGAGGTGGAAATTTTTCATTAAATTTGAATAGGACGACTATTGAAGTACCCTCTTTCTAACAAAAAAAAGAATCATAGAAATCGGTTTACAGATTTCGGAGTAATCACGAAACTACACACAACAAAAAATCCTACTTTTGAAGTCGGTTAAAAATAAGCCGCTATTAAAAACGTATTTTCTTCCCTACATTAAATAATAGTCTTCAATATTACTTCGGCATTGCATTCGTAAAATAGTAACATGTAATTTTTTTATTTTAAAGACAAAGTTTTAAATCTCAAATTCATTTATATCACCATATATTTGTTTTAATGCATTTTGAACGTTGTCCAAGAATGTGAACAATAAGCTTTATGTGTTTGTTTTTATTGGTTTATTTCGAGAGACAATCGTTTCTGTCAACCCAGAACTGACGAATGACGAACTGCCGAGAACGACTTTTCTAAAGTGACACCATAGTCCGGGACGCCCGGGCTAAAACTGGTTGTGTACTTTAAAAAAAAACTCTTTTGTTTTAATTAAATTTTTATTGAATTGATATTCAATTATTTTTTGTGAAATTACCCACTAGTTTGTTATAATTATTAATACAAAGATCGAACACTCAGAAAAAATTCCTTCGATCCGGTCGGATTCGAACCGACGTCTTCTTGCATAGCGTGTCAGACGCTATACCAACTAAGCCACGGAACGAACCCACGGACCTCACGAATTTTTAGCAGCTGTAAAGGTACTAACTGGGTGATAAATCTGTCATAGATTTCTCATAGATGGCGCTACGAGTAAAAAGTCGTTGAAAGACCAAGTACAAAGACACGACGAAAGCACATAGAAAAATTCGTGAGGTCCGTTGGTTCATTCCGTGGCTTAGTTGGAGGAATTTTTTCTGAGTGTTCGATCTTTTGTTTTAGTTATACAGATCAAAGGCGTGATAGCTTTGACCTACCGCCTCTCAAGCAAACGCCGTAGGTTCAAAACCGGATTTCTCCGACTTATATGCGAAATTTAATTTTGTAATTGACCATGAGCTTTTCGGGAAAGGAAAGCATCGTGATGCCACCATACTTATTTTAATTGTTTCGGACGGATGTCGGTAAGACATCGAGTATATAAAGACCAGAGACGAGAAAAGGGCCATCCATCGTTGGCAACTCATCAGGCAAATGGACATTATATCACTTTTAAATATCAACTTTTGTTTGCACTGAAATCACAAATTAGAAAGCTGAAATAGTACAGCGTCAACAGTGTACATCTCGGTATATTCCAAAAATATTCTGTATTTATTGTAATAAAGATAATATCTCTAACAATGGGGCTGTTCTATTCGGTGATGTGGGAAAAACAGCAAAACATCTAATTACAAAACAAACTGAATCACATTTCATCAGTAATATTAAATATTATTATGTAATTTAAAATTATCGTCCATTATAGCTAAACTCAAGCTAAACTGGTCGATTTGAAGTTAAACAATTGACGACACTCGTCGATTGTTTCAAATTCGAGTTGGCCAGTCCGAGCGCAGTTGTGACCATAATGATTTGGCAGAACAAATTAAATGACATTTCGTCATTATATACTCGATGCGACTAAAGCGCGAGAGTAGACGCTCGGATTATTTTAAGATTTTTATTTTATGAAAAGAAAGTAGGCAATATATGGTAGTGTTAGCATCATTCATGTTAAGTGTAAGTAATTGTTTCGGACGGAGTAGACCCCAGGAGCCAATAAAGAGGGTGATAAAAATGTGGGATGACGACGTTTAAGGTCAGCATTGTCAAAAGCCGACAAGTTTCATACAACAAGCGCGAAAAAGACGTGGGGCGTTTCGCTCGCGCTCGGACTGCTGACGCGAAACACACAACGTCTTTCCCGTTCTACGTTCATGGACATAAAGCTTGCTAGGTTCACCGAATTTCACGTCCTGGGAGCTCGGTGAACTTAGCAGGTATAATGTAGTCATTTTATTCATTCATACATTTCATTCGATTCATTCGTTTCACTCGTCCGTTTATCAGTTTCACTCATACATTTAAGTCATTCATTTATTTATTTCGTTCATTCATTTAATTAATCTCATCCATTAATTCATTTCATGATGTTCTTTCATTCATTAATACCATTCACTCATTCCATCCATTCATTCACACCATTCATTAATCCCGTTCATTCATTTCATTCATTCATTTCCTTCATTCATTTCATTCACTTTATTTTCTTTGTTTTTATTCTGTAACTTTTGTACTAACAGTAAAAGTTGTAAGTGTACTAACAAAATGGACTGTGAATTGTCTGCAATTAATGATTTTTATTAATGGGATTCCATGTCGATAAATGTCATAACTCCCTAAACGATCAAGTTGAGATGCAAGTCGCGAACGCCATTGTGTAAATCCAGTGGTGTAAAAATATTATTAATAAAAAACGTTAGTTATAAATCCATGTCAACGTCTGAAATGTCTCCTAAAGAGTTTCCGTTTGACATGTGTGTTCTTCGTGAATCATATTCCGCGTACGAAACTACTTCCGAACATAATTAGCACACATGTTCTGACATTGTGGGGCTATAAACTTGTGGGAAATGTTGCTATATACGGAGGACTTAAGAATTAATCACAAATGTGCTGAGTCACGGAATACCTCTCGCTAACAGTCAAGAAAAAGATCATGATAAAATCTGCATTTCGAAAGCTCACACAACGCCTGGAAAACGATCAAAATAAATATGTTGATCAAAATACAGAAAAAAATCTTACCAACTAGTTGCAAACATCACTCACAAAAGCCCTGCTTTTAAGCCGGCTTTGTCCGCGGCCAAGGACTTCAGAATTGGTGTTCTATCATTTTACACAAAAACTAACTTGATTAAGATAATAATCTCAGAACAGAGTACTAAAAAAACCGACCTCAAAAGTACGTGGAATTACGTCTATTTGCTAAGTTTTATTGAAATATCCCCTAGTTCGCCACTATACGGGACTTGACACTGGAGATAACAAAAATCGGTTCTCACTACTCAAAGTATATTGAGAGAAAAATGCCTTGAATTGGAGAAATAGCAAAATCAACCATTAAAATAATTGCTCCTAAATTAAAGTTAGGCGCTATTTATAAAAATGTATCTTCATGCGTGAACAACAGCCACCCTTAGAGGTGGATGATTTTCTTCAAAATAAAATGGGACCACTATGGAAATACCCCCTTTCCAACAAAAAAAGAATCATGAAAATCGGTTCACAAATACCGGAGATATCGCCTAACATACACACAAAATGTGTGCGTAAATTGTTTTTTATGCATATTACGCGATAACTCCGATTTGCGAACCAATTTTGATGATTAATTTCTTGTTGGAAAGACAGTATTGGTCCCATTTAAATTTGAAGAAAATATTCCACCTCTAAGGGTGGCAAACTAGGGGATGAAACCGATTTCGTGCACTC